CAGAGGATCAGCCACAGGGTCAGCTTAAGGGGTGGCAGATTGTCCTGCACCCCACACCTCGGATATGCCACGTACTTTTCAGACCAGGTTGGGAGAGCAGGTGATTGCAGAAGCACAGAGCAGAGAAGCGTCTCTGGTGGCCTCAGGCTGACAGGAAAGGAGCTGGAAGGAAACTCTACATTTGCAGCCAGATTTGGGTCTGTGATATCCACGGCTACCCCATGGTGTAAAGAGCAAGACAGGCAGGGTGAGGGTCTGCGAGAGGAGGCCGAGGAGGTTGTCCCAGGCAGGGAGGTGCCCAGGTAGGAGCAGGTCCTCCTACAGCAGGTAGCTGCATTTTGGCATAAGAGCCAAATTGTCTCCTCAAGGGAAATGCCCCAACACCCCATCTCCCCATGAGCACCCCAAAACAAGGGGTTGTGGGTTGCCCCTAGAGCCACAGCAGGAGAAGGAGGCCCTTGGGCACGAGTCCTGCTGGTCCCATAACCTTCATTTCTGGGAGGAGCACAGGGAAGACCAGGGTGGTCACAGGGAGGAGGGTGATGCCACTTCACACCAGCCCCAAGGGGCTCTCACGGCCGCCTCTGTCCTCCCCTCCCTGTCTCCCACCATGCAGGCCACCAAAATGCCGCACACCAAGGTGCTGCTCCTCCTTGCCCTCCTCTGTGCCACCGAGACCGGCCGGGCCCTCAAGCTCTACAACGCCGCCTCCATCTTCAGCTGCCTCAACGCAGCCCTCACGGAGGCCCAAAAGGGCCGCCCAGATGAGAACGATCTTCTGGACAAGCGCAGCTTGGACTACCCACCACCGGAGGAGGCGTTTGAGGAGGAAGAGGAAGAAGAAGCAGCGCTGGAGGAAGAAAAGGAGAAAAGGACGTTCCCAGGGGAAGGCCATTACAAATACGTCTCTCAAGCGCAGGTGAAGGGGAAGACGTACCAAAACCGGGCCAAGAGCGACCGCCGCACCAAAGTCACCCTCTCTCTTGACGTCCCCACCAACATCATGAACATCCTCTTCAACATCGCCAAAGCCAAGAACTTGAGGGCCAAGGCTGCGGCCAACGCACACCTCATGGCCCAGATCGGGCGGCGAAAGTGACCCAGGATGGACTTGGAGCAGAAACAGCCACGTGGGGACAGGGGGGCCACCAACCAGCCCCACTCCCCCCGGCCAGAGGGGACTGACGGCTGTGTATGATATCAGTGTTGTATATATTTGACCCAGCAAGCTACCTAACTTTCAGGTGTCTCTTCTTCTTCCTTCTCTCCTTCCTTCTATCCCCAGTCCTCCTTCATGCCCTGGACATTTCCACATGGAGAGAAGAGGCTGGTTTCTGAAACAGGGCGAGGGGGTGTGTTGCCTCGGGAAGGTCCCTATTAAAGCTATGATCTCTTGAGGTTTCCAATGCTTTCTTCTCCCATCACCTCCACTGTGTACTCACTTGGGCCCTGTGGTCTGTCCAAAGTCTCCCTCAATCCAGCCATATGTCCCTGTCCCTGCCACCACTCAACCCCTGCTCCATCCCAGCTCCCCCACACAACCTCATGTGTTGGGAAGGGAAAAGAAATATTGTCAGGAGGACAGGAGAGAAGTCTCCCAATAACTCCCAGCAAAGGATGTGGGAGACCCTTTAGATTTAAAGCCATCTTGCAAACACCCCTTTCCCTTCACACCCTCAGCAGTTCCAGCCAGCTCAGCTTCACCCATGGCCCAGACATGGGTCCCATCCACATGGTCCATTACAAGCATGTCTGCGGTGGTCCTAGGCGTGCTTCTACAAGGTGCTGACAACCACAGCCTGAGGTGAGTATGGAGCTCCAAGCATCACAGGTGCCTTCACACCGTTGCCTTTCCCCCTTCTGCAGTGGGCATCTGTGCAGATTGATGAACTTAACCTCCCCATGAACAGTCCTCTCCAAGTCATCTGCACATGGCCTAATCCTCTTCATCCACCCTCCATCGATGTCCCAGCTCTTTGAACCCAAGAGAGCTGCCTTGTGCTATTGTTCCCTTCTCTATAATCTCTCTCCCCTCCCAACCCAGCTCCAAGATGCTCTTGGCCTCAAGCCCTGCATAGTAACAGTGGCAGGAGATGGAGAGAACCTTGACTCTTCTTCCCCAGGAGACATTGGCCAAGAACGAGAACAGAGCTTATAGTAGCCCCATACAGGTAGGGCTTTATTGGAGAATGGTCTCTGCTTGAAGAGTTGAAGGGACCCACCAGTCAAGAGCAGGGAAGCAATTAGAGGCACCTCCTCTCTGCTCCATGGCTTTCTGAAGGAGGACACCAGAGGAAACAACACATCTGATTTCAGCCCTTAACCCAGCTCAGGTGACCAAGGCTTCTGGGTGAGCTGCAGCCCAGGGACATCACCAGGGGGACCTGCATTCAGCACTATCCATAGGCTGGACTTAACACTGGAAAGTGAATGCAAAATAAAACACGAGGCCATCCAGCATCTTCCCCTCATGTCACACTGCTCCAGCAGGCAACACACCTGCAGGGCCCTTGTGCATTGAGCCCATCCCACTTCTGCACTGGGGCATGGATAGACCAGGAAGGTCTTTCCAGAGCACCAGAAATAGCAGCCTGGGTGGGAGGGACCTGTTTGGTTAGTCCTCTCCATTTCCATTCAGAACTCATTAGCTGAGTATAGGTCTCCGCAAAGAGGTTCCTCTGGGATTGGGCAGCACAGGAAGGAAAGATCATCCCTGAGTAAGGAGATGCCCCTCTCCACACATCCACCCTCCTTCCCAGGACCTGACTGGTCACATCATCCCAACCCAAAGCACCCAGCTTGGCCTGGAAATGATTTAGGGCACAGGACCAGCTCCAGGGAGCCCTATGGACAGCAAGCAGAGAGAGGCAGAGATGTCAGCTCACATCCCAGCAGACAGAGTGGGAAGAGTAAAGTCCGACTCAGCTGGATACCCAGCCAGATAAACGCTTATCCCTGTGCGGGTTGGACATCCTGCAAGAGTGTCCCATGGTTGTGAGGGCTCAGCCTTTCTAATGCACAAGGAAGCTCCCTGCCACCCAGAGGAGCCTCAGCTGTTTTTTTTTCCACAAATTTCTAGGCTGGGAATGGACCTTTCCCCAGCAGTCGGGAGGATTTGCAGCAATGTTGGTTGTGGCCCAAAGGCCCCATGATGCTCCAGGAGGGAAAGCACTCACTGATGGCTACTTTTTCAGAAAAAGTGAACATCTCAGCCCCATGTTATTGCCTAGAAATCAAAGCATCCCATTCCTGGGGGCTCACGTCCACGTCTTGCTTTCACATCAGGTAGTTCAGCCACCTGGAACATCCCTCCAACACGTATTGGGGGAGGTTCCCACCTCCTTATGGACTAAGGAGTGAGGAATTGGGGAGCATTTGGCCTCACATTATCTACATCCAGATCCACAGGCAGTTCAGTTTTAGGCACTGTCTTGAAGCCAAAAAAAAAAAAAAAAAAACAAATCTGGCTACTGCAAAGCTGCTCATTTGGCTCTGCTCACAGGAAGGCATCCAGCCTGGCTTCCAGCATGGGCCACCTGGTCCCACTCAGCACTCTGGCCATATTGCTATCCCAGTCAGCAGTGTCCCCTTGGAGGATGCATCTTGTGTTGGGAGTGGACGAGCCCAAGGGTGTCTGCTGGCTCCAGGTTCTTCCCTGGACTGCCCAGTTGAGCATGGGACAGCAGATACTAACACAAAACAAGTGATGAGGAAAGCAGAGATCTTCCCGCCCCAGCTACATCCCTACAGGCAAGTCTATCTCACATCCCACGTCGGCTTTGACAAACCTTTCCAATATGAATCCATCTTCTCAGCCTCTGCCACGCACGATCACAAGCTGCTTGGAGGGGCTGAGATACAGACAAAGGTCACAGGAGCCAGATTTCCTGAGGAAGCTGGATTGAAACACGAGTGCTGAAATATCTATCAGCCACCACCTGGCCTTGGGAGCCCTGGGAGCCAAATCTCTTGGAAAGGAAGGGGCTGACAGTGATGCTATTTAGAGATTGCATGAGCAGTTACATAAAAATCAGACGAGGATTCAGTCATTCCCACCATTTCATGGAGAATCCAGAGATGAAACTCAATTCCTTGATACTGCATTCAAAATGAAGGTTTCACTGGACAGTCAGGAGTAGATACATGAGATTCAGTCAGGCTTGCTCCACATTTCATCTTCTTCCACTGCCATGTCCCTTGCAGCTTCTTCATAGTTCTTCACCAGCACATCCAGGCTTTCCCTGGCCTCCAGGAAACACATCCTCCTCCTCCACAAAACAATACACAAAAGCCTCATTCACCTACCTCACGGCAAACTGTAGATACTACAGTGATATGGGCCCCTCCTCCAGGCAGCAAGTCCAAGGTGTCTGAATCCCATTTTGGGATGGAGGAGGTCCTATGCCCATCTTGATGAGGATGATCCCAAAGGTCAGCATGTAGGCCGTGTAACTCAATGGGCATCAGCTATCTAGCTAGAAATAGACCCTGCTATGTGACAAGAAGTCCACATTTGCATATGTGACGTCTTGGCTAACTGACTTCCAGCTCAGGACAGTAAATAGCATTGCCCCACCTCAAATCCCGTGTTCAGTTTTGGGGCTTTCACTACAAGAAAGACATTGAGGTGCTAGGGCATGTATAAACAAGGGCAACAAAGCCAGGGAATGACGTTCTTACAGACCTGGTAAGAAGCAGTTGAGGGAGGTGGGATAATTTAGTGTGGAAAAGAAGCTCGAGACAGACCTTATCACTCTAGAACTATGTAAAAGAAGGTAGTAGAGAGGGAGTCCAGAGCAGTGGAACAGGCTGCCCAGGGAACCTGAGAGGAGATATCAGCTAGGAACTGGGATGCCACATCACTTAGCTTGAACTAGGCACTTAGGCACCCCTTTCTTTTCCCTCAAGTCACAACCACTAAGTCGGTCTCTTCCCACCAAGAGCATCTCATCACTGTTGTCCCATGGGGATCATGGCCAACCCAACAGAATTCCATGCAGCTACACCTATGCTGCCTCACTGGACAGCCATGGAAACCACAGCCACAAGGCAGCAGCAGCAGAGTCTCACGGGCATTGTTACCATTTTACGAGCCCTCTCAACAACAGGGTCAATGATCTCCTTCCCAATGGTGTAGTGGCCGCGGGCATAGTTGTTGGCAGCATCTTCCTTGCCACTGATGAGCTGCTCCGGGTGGAAGAGTGCGCGGTAACTGCCAGTCCTGATCTCATCTGCAAGAGGTTGTGAGCTCAGGAGCACCCCTGCCAGAACCACCACCCTCTCCCAAGAAACTTCCACTCATTTCAGAAAAAACCCTTTCCCATGGAAGCCAGGGACCTCCCAGGCAGTTCTCAGAGCCAACATCCCCATAGCAGGCCAGAAAGCTCCAGGAGCTCTAACAAGAGTCCTACAGACTTCTCATGCCTTACCAAGGACAGTGGGCTCCAGGTCAACAAAGATTGCTCTGGGCACATGCTTCCCCGAGCCACTCTCGCTGAAGAAGGTCCCAAAGGAAGAGTCCACCAGCCCCACGGATGCCTCAGAAGAGAGGATGCCATCTGGCTGGATCCCATGCTCCAAGCAATACAGCTCCCAGCACGAATTGCCCATCTGCACGCCAGCCTGGCCAATGTGGACAGAAATACACTCCCTCTGCATGGCAATAGGAGACAYAAGGACGTTAGGAACGTGCCCACGCTAGAACCTCAGGCTCTGCTCACGGAGAACATGGCAGACACCACTGGAGCTCCCACAGGACAAGAGGAGCAGGACACAGGACAAGAGGAGCATTTGCAGAGCTTCGGGACAACAAGGACACTTCCCCCACAACAAGCACCCAGGAGCTGTAGAACTAGCAACAAGGGACRCTGCAGCTTCTCTGAGGGGCCAATGCTTCTGTCAAGGCAGGTACAGAGAGCCACGGAGTGCAGGAGGACCTGCTGCACCCCAGCACTGCCCTCGCTCCGCACAGCAGAGCTGCTCCCAGCACAGCCAGCAAGGCAAACCATGAAGAGCAGCCACCAAGAGCCAGGGAGACTGCTCCTGCGTGCCCCTTGCTCTGCCCATCCTGCCTTGGGCAGCAGCCAGGGCACACGGAGCCTGCCCAGGTGGAGCCTCCGGGACTCTCAGCTGGGCAGGGAGGGACTGGTGAATAAGGCCAGCTTTTTTGGCCTCATCTCTGCTTCCACCAAGAGCAGCTGTGCAGGAGCAGCCAGCTGGAGACAGGTAGAGGGGCTACCAGCAACAATGGGCAGAGACTGCTCAGTCACCTGCTCCATATGGGAGCCAGCAACTGTCCCATGGAGCTACTAGGCTTGAACCAAAGGAGGAGAGCCCTTTATTCAAGGCATAGCTAAGCTGAGAACTTCCTGAGACTAGAGACTGTTAGATTTTAGGGCTCAGAGAGACACTGGGCTAGGAGATACCCACCAAGAGTTGCATGGGACTTTTTCCTCTAGTCATTTAGGACGCTCTCACCTACAGGAAAGTTTAACTAGGAGAGCCTCATAGGCTTGGCCAAAGCTTACTCTGCCCTAGCTCCCAGTTTTTAAGCATGTGCTGGGCAGGACACCCCACCAGACACCCAGCACAGCCACTAAACTAAAGCACAMAAACACAAGGCAACATCCTCCACCACAGCAGAAGGTCCTGCCCCAAGGGTGGCCATTTGAGAGAGCAGCTCTGCACTAACCACCAAACATTCCTCTCCCTACTCAGGGAGCAGCCCTGCAGCCTGCTTAACAAACCCTCTACACCAGAGCCATGGGGCTGGTGACCTTGCTGCTGTAAGGGCAGGATGAGAAGTCCCACCTCTGCCTGGGATCACACACAACCTGCAAGCTCTTCAAAGGGAGCTTTGCAAGGGGCACACGCAGGTCTGGAAGGGCTTCAGCCTTTGCAGTGGGTCAATCCTCCCCAGGCCAGGAGACGCTGCTGAGCACCACGCTTGCAAGTCCAAACCAAGCTCCCCCCAGCACCCATTGGTCACCCCAAGACACCTTTCTTCAGCCCTCACATGCTTCTCAGCTCCCTGCTTCTCCCCCCACCAAGCTGCAATAAAGAGAAAAAGCTGCTTCCAGTCTCACCCTCCTGCTRAGCTGCAAAGGACCAGCCAGGGCAGCTGGTGGTGCTCAGAGAAAACCCCCTCCTCAAGCCCCCACACCTCCTCACCATGACTGGGAACCACCTGAGCTCCTCAATGGAACCTCACCCCCTTCTYGGGGCATTTTATAGCAGCAGAGCTGGTCTCACCATTAAAGGGGCAGTGTCACCTCCTCCTGGCTCTTGCCCTTTCTCCTGTGCACACCTGGTAGCCAAGTCCTCTAACGTTTCTGCTCTTATGAGACAGCAATATGGGGCCACTGACATGTCTAGAAGGAATTGCTCCTGGAGATCTGTAGGGTTGG